CTGGCGTCTGACCTCAACCGATTTGTCGTTGGTTTGCTTCTGTGAGTCGCGACTCTTCTAGTCACTTTACCGCTCTCGAGAACGAGACGAACAACGCTAATCATCCTGCAGAAATGGTTTTCTCACGGGCTTCCCTTTCATGGCCGCAATAATCAACATCCCGCAGCGGCTGCAGACGGTCAACTCGACAACCGCCATCGGCGCTGGACTCCGCATGCTACCTCTGCTACTTCTGTCCCCTGTGGCAAGCGCTCTCTCTGGCGTGTTGATTACGAAGCTCAAAGTCCCCCCGCTTTACGTCCTCACCCTGGGCGGAGTGCTTCAGGTGATTGGCGTCGGTTTGTTCAGCTCACTTGATTCGACCACTCTGAAGGTCCCAGATGCACAGTACGGCTATCAGGTTATAATGGGCCTCGGTTTCGGCTTCAATTTAGCTACTATATTAATGATGGCAACCATAATCGTCCCAGAGAATGACCTAGGTATGATTTGTGTCCATGATTCTTGTCCAGCTGTGCTCCAAGTCCGGATACCTGGCTGACTCAAGTGCGACTCAAACAGCCGTGACAATGGGCGCCGTGACACAAACCCGTGTCCTAGGCGGCACTATTGGCCTTGCCGTCTGCTCTGCATTGCTGATTGACCACATCAGGGCTCAAGCCTCGGCCATCTTGACGCCGGCGGAACTGGCCAGCATATTGTCATCGTCAGGCAACATCGCCTTGCTGCCCCCGGACAAGCAGTATGAGACGAGGGTCATTTTCGCCGAGGCCTATTCGCGGCAAATGAGGGTCATGTTGTACTTTTCCTTGGCTGCCCTCTTTTCGATTCTACTTCTGTTTGAAAAGAAGCCGAGGCGAGCAGTGACTACAACAACAGAGGAAGATACGACACGACCGTCTTCATAAGTTTTTCGTTGGCTCTTCCACTCTTTAATTTGAGGTGCTCCCCAGCATAAATGAAGGTGTTTTCCTCTCTTTGTTTTACATGCATTTTCCAGTGAACGGAGGTTTTGCCCTAGCTATTGATATCTCTGGGAGTTCCACCGTCTTCTCCGGACTCGAGAAGAGCTTGCAAAATCTTCAGATCTCCCAATGCCTCCAAGGGTGTTTGCAGCTGATCAGACACTCCACTCGGCAGACTCCTACAAAAGGCCTCAATCTCAGCCCTTACGGCGTTGTCGTAGATGAATTCCTTGACCCCGTTCATCAGGCCCGTTGCATTGATCACTTGAACCTTCACCGGTGTCCAGGTGACAGAGCCCGTCGTTGTGATAACGACAATCTCGAGGTCAGACTTGGGCTCTATGCCATAAGAGAGGCTGATGGTGCCGCTGCGGCCGGATTCTGTCAAGGCGACGGCATGGATTGTATCCACGGGGACGAGATGCTCCTGGAGGAGCGCAGAAGCTGCCATGACCCTATTGATCGTATCTCCCGTCGCGCCCAGTAAAAGCCGAAGCGAGGCAATGAAATGCACAGCCCCGTCGAGGAGGAAGCCGCCCTGGAAATCCGGAGTTTGGCGCCCTATTTCTCGGATGCCTCGTCAGATTGGCTCCGTGAGTAAAAGTTTCGAGCTTCAGGTGCTTACATTCAGTCTGGTAGTACTTGTTGTCCTTCTGAATGCACGTGTAAAAGACCAGCCGAAACGTCACCAGCCGCCCCCCGATGTCGCGCAGCCTGTCGGCGGCGTACCGCAGGCTCTCGTTGAAGCGGAAGTTTTCGGCAACGGCCCAGACGGGCGTGCTCGGCCGGCTCACATGCCAGGCGAGGAGGGCGCTCGCCGTCGCGACGTCGCGCGCAATGGGCTTCTCGCTGAGGACGTGCTTGCCTGCCGCCAGGGCGCGGCGGACGATGCCCGCCTGCACGGGGATGGGGAGACAGATGATGACGGCGGATATGTCAGCGCGGGACAAGAGATGGTCGAGCGAGGATTTCTCCGTGCCGGGGGTGTCATGGTAGATGGCTGGCCTGGGCTCGACTGCAGCCGCGACGGCGGCGGCTGTCTTTTCGGATCGAGAGTACACGGCTCGCAGGGTGAGAGATGGGGAGTCCCGGATGGCTGGTACATATTCTGTCACGCTGCATTAGCGTTTAGCCTGGAAGAACGTACGGAGAAGATGGTCTGGGTTTTTGGCAATGGCCAGCGAGAAGAGGGTTTAAAGTGCAAAGGATTGGGATGGCCTTTGCGGGTTCACGTACGCTCTCGAGCAAATATGCCACCGCCAAGCAGTGCTACCGCGATCATTGTAGTCGAGCCTATGAGGGACAAAAGCAGTGAGAGTTGGCAATGGCCGCTTCGAGTGCGTCCCTGAGACGAGGAAATTCAGCATGGCGTGTCTGTGTTCTTTATAGTTGCTCTCCCCGAGTTTGTCTGCCATGAAATGTGTCGGGCACAACTGGGACCTGTCATACCTGCCTGGGTATGCATTGTGCTTGGGTGCAGCAGGTAGGTCTTGGGCATTGACAGTACAGCTGCAACAAGCAGGCATCTTGCTGAGACAGGTCAGCAAAGGTAGCTGCAACAAGCAGGCATCGAATGCTGCATCCATGATGACGAGCAGAGAGACCCCTGTCGTTGGTCCCCCCACGCCATCATCAATCGCCGAGACGGGGTCTTGGGGGTCCAGCAGAGTGAAAATCAACGGCGATTCAAGCCGTCCCGACGGCCCCGCACTCGCCAGTCAAGCTGCCAGTCAAGCTGCCAGTCAAGCCGCCAGATCAGCGTGCCCCGGTCGGTGTTCATGGACAGTGAAGACAGTCTTCCGTGTGCCTTATGTCACTCAGCCTGTGACCCACTATAGCTTCTCCCGACCCCGAAACCGCTCTCATCCTCACCCATCATCAATGAGCCATCCGTCCTCGTTCACCACAAGCTCCAGTCGGCTAAAGTGCATCGAACCTCCTCCTCCTCCTCCCTCAACAATTCGCTATCCTACCAGCTACAAGTATGGAATCTCAAGTCGACCATCTGGTTTCCAAAGCCTGGGAGAAATACCAGTCCACGCCACCAAACCAACGACTACGTACGTCATCCCTCCCCCCAACCACGAAACTTACCTCGCCTGACAGCACCGCATCCCGCCAAAATAATCACCACAAAACAAAGATGAACTGACATTTCTCCCCTCAGTCATCGCCATAGGCGGCATCCCCGGCTCCGGCAAGACGACCCTCTCCGGCATCATCACAACCCGGCTCAACGCCCTCGCAGCAGCCGCCGCCGCGACCTCCACCTCCACCTCCACCTCCACCTCCACCTCCTCACCCTCACCTTCATACTCGAGGATGGAGTCTGATCTGCAGCCGCCCTCGTCCCTATGCACGGCTACCACCTAACACGCGCCCAGCTCTCCGCGCTGCCCAACCCAGCC